ATGAAAAGAATGCCCGTTTTATGCAAGAATGCCATCAGAGTGTTAATACAATTTGCATCAACGTATTTATGTGAAACTGGATTTAGCAAACTAGTTTCAATAAAAACTAAATACCACTCGCGTTTAAAACCTGAAGATGATATGCGAATTGCAATTAGCAACATACATCCAAACATCGATGAGATAATTAGAAACTTGCAGCCACATACATCTCATTAAAGGGCAATTTACTGATTTTTGTGTTATACAAAAAGTATTTTCTTAAAATTATAAATAAAATTAATATGAGTCAAATATGATGATGTTTTTATTCGATGAAACGAAAGAAATGCGCGAAATATACATCGTATTTGTGAACATTTATCTCTAGGGGTCGCCAAAAATTTTCTCTCTACAAAAGGGGTCGCAGTCGAAAAAAGTTTGCGCAACACTGCACTATAAGATTCCTTGTAAAATATTATTATCAAGTGATATTATACAGCTTTGTTGTTTTTACGCGACTGAAACCGGTTTGCACTTGTTTATGTTCGTGTATCGATGGGTTAAATTAGACGATATATCATATAAATTCGACAATTGGATATATTATATAAATGTACAATATTTATTATATCAATCGTTATATTATTGTATTATAGTAATTAGACCAAATTATTAGACGCACTGTAGTGTTTTAATAATTATGTGTTTTGCTCGAGTTTATATGTCATGCTTTTATATTTAAACATACATGTAATGGGTTTTTATTCAGGAGATTTTTTTATATACTTCCCATTTGTATTTATTTTTAACATATTACATTACAATGTTAACCGATTGATACTCGAATATAAGCAAATGTAAACCGGTTTCAGCCACGTCAGAGCAATAATGCTGTATAGTATCACTTGATAATTAAAATTTTATATAGCATCTAATAGTGCGTAGATTAATTTGGCTAGGAACTGTACAAAGATATGTTTTTTTTCTAATAATAATTTTTGTGGTATTTTTAATTTAACTTGAAAAATGGTTTAGTTTGTTTTTAAAAATAATTAAAGTAATATTTTTCACTAACTTTTCAGCTAATAAATTCTGATAAGTTATGTAGATAATAAAATCAGGGTTGATTTTTCTTTCGTTAAATTCTGGTGCAGTTTTAAAAACATAAGTCTTGCGCCTCCAGTTACAAAAGCATATATTGCGCCATCTAATTATTGATAACGATAACAAAAACACTTTTTGAAACAGACTACAATTACAGATAGGAAAGAGAAGAGCTTTCAAAACTTGATTTAACTTTTTGTCACTAATTCAGTTTTTAAAAATCATTTAGTCTATTGAGTTTAACTTGTCTTAAATCCTATTAATTTACATAACCTCTTAAAACCCAGACATGTTAAAAAGTTTCTCTTGCGTTACACTGTATGTCTTGTCAAGCAATAACGTCATTATTTCTTTGTAATTTCATAATTTCTTTCGCTTTACAGTTCACGTTTCTTCAATGTTTGACAGCTAAATTATAATACCATAACTCTTGCTAAATATTTCCTTGCTTCAGGGGATGTCAAAAGATTTTACTTCCTTTTCCTTTCAAAATATATTTTCTTTCTTTAACTATGTCTGTCTTATTTTGTTTCTTTATGTTAATAATAGTTAGTTTCACAATCAGATAGTTATTGAATATTAGTTATTGCCAGGGTTTTCTTGAATATTAAATTATTGAATGATTTCTTCAAAAAGTTATTTGATGTCTTTTTGTTATGTTACTTTATTTTATTTTGATCGATTATTGCTCAAGTGAAATTACTACATTTACTACTGATATTACTATATTTGATTTCAAGTGTTATTGTTACATAAAGAGGCCTGTCCTCCCACGACCAAACTCAACTGTCAAAGGGGTGGAGACGGGCAGGGAAAATTCTAAATATGATTTTAATCCTCCTTATTTTTCACAAATAAACTGAAAGTAGATTTGGAAGTCTTCTCCGATACGCGTGAAACACAAGGTCGACATCTCATCATTTGAGATATAAAGCGAGCAAAATTTTAGATTTCTTATTATTTTTTTCTGACAAAAGCATACCAATACAATCCTGCTATCAATAGTTTTTGATAGACAGTTAAATACTGCGAAGTTGTCTGTTTTTATGTTTTTTACAAGTATCTTTGTTTTTATGCACTTAAGGTGAAAAAATATTTTTAGCACATTCCAAACCAGTTTTTATCAGCACTGCAATGAAATTAGATTTTTTTCAAAAAATAAAAAAACTGAGAAACATGTAGTTTTAAATTACTAAGTCAAAGCCACAAATTGCATCATTTTATTGCTTTAAAGCTTCGAAGAAAAATTTATAGAAGTTCTAAAAATTATCAAGCGCTATTTTTCCTAATCTAAAGTGACCACTTTAGTCTCTACTTTTTTTTGAAAGGTATTGCGCTGTCTAATAATACTGAGTCATTAAGTTCGTCAAGTACAAAAAATTATATAGAAAACACAATTTAAAAATTTAGCCTGAAAACAAAGATGGCGTCCTCATTCGTTATTGTTCTGATGCTGTTTGATCTGCTACAATAGCGAATTGTCTAGAATTTGCGAATTGGCCTTAAGGGTTCGGAGTGCTAAATTGAATTTTTATAATGCAATTTGAATAAGATTGTTAACCAATAATGAGTTAATACAATATCTGTAAGATATTTTAAATATCATTTTTTTAATCGAAACTTTAATATCTTTTAACGTTATTGCTTTTATGTTACGTAAATTTATTTAAATTATTATTTCGTTAAATGATTCTTGCATTCATGTTGTTAACTGGATTTAAGCCAATCAAGGTTATTGCGGCTTAGAATTTTGTTGAATTCTTTTACTTATCAATTTTTATTACTGTTCCAATTTGTTTTTTAAATTGTATTATATATATGGTATTTTTAATTTAA